TGTGTGTGTGTGTGTGTGTGTGTGTGTGTGTGTGTGTGTGTGTGTGTAAACGTAAACGCTGGCCCACGCATGGGTGTGGAGAAGGAGCAACAGACCTGCTAGTAAACTGGCTTACACTGTGACCAGTTTCTCAGGTCGGTGTGAGCGCCCCCCTTTGGCTGCTGCTTGCCCGCTCCACACCTGGCCTGGGTTTGCTCTTGTGTTCAGACAAGTACAGGAAGCTGGGCTTCCCTGGTATAACCTCTGAGGTAGGGGTCACGTCCTCTTCATGCTCTAGTGCTTGATGCATTAGGTCAGGGGTTCTCAAACTGAGGGTCGGGACCCCTCAGGGGGTCGTGAGGTTATTATATGGGCGGGGTTGCGAGCTGTCAGCCTCCACCCCAAACCCCGCTTTGCCTCCAGCATTTATAATGGTGTTAAATATATAACAACGTGTGTTTAATTTATAAGGGGGGGTCGCACTCAGAGTCTTGCTATGTGAAAGGGGTCACCAGTAAAAAAGTTTGAGAGCCACTGCATTAGGCTGTCGGTTTGCCGCAGGCCAACAGCATCCAATTTCACACCTGTGTTTTAAGGGCAATTCCACCCAGTTGGCATTCGGTCAGGAGGCGGGTGACTGCCCCTACCCGGAGATGTGATGCTGGCTTGATTACAGAGCTTTGGGGTGTTGGTTAATGCCCCATAGATTGTGCCCCCTAGCATCAGGTTTCCTGGTGACTCAGGGTGAACATGCTGAGTCCTGCATAGGTTGGGATCAGCCAGGTTGGTCCGCCTTCTGGCATTTCACCACGTAGGGCTGACGGGGGCCTCCTGGGTCATTGACTATAGTCTCCTGCTACCGCAGGCCACGCCCGGGCGTTCATGGCAAATAACGTTCAGAAACGTATCAAGCTTCATCTTCAGGCTGGTTGGGTTCGTGGAGCCAAGTGCATGAGGTTCTCCTTGCACGGCGGGCGAAACAAAGCGCGGGCAGGGGGATCTGAGCCGGTAGCTGCTGTGCCACGGGCCTGCCCTGAAGCTGGCGTTTTATCAGCGCTGCTCTTCTCCCCAGTACATGCTGCAGAGGACCCAGGACAACGACGAGAACGTGGCCTTGGAAGCCTGCGAGTTCTGGCTGACGCTAGCCGAGCAGCCCATCTGCAAAGAGGTGCTGTCCTCACATCTAGTGCAGTGAGTAGCCTTGCTTCTGTACAAGCCGGGGAAGAGTCGGGAAGCCTGTTGGGGCTGCCGCTGCAGCCAGTAAGGGGCGACTGGTTCAGAGAGCTGGGCTAAGCAACCCTGGAGGCACGCTAGGAAAGGACAGGCGAATACTGTTGCTTGTGAGGGTGTTTGCTCCCCTGCTGATGTTTAAGGGTCTCGTGGTTGGGCTAAGTACAGGGCCTGCTGGGTGACATGCTCTGGCCTGTGATACAGGTGGTCAGATTAAGGCCAGGCACGCATCCCTTCCTGCTGCCAGTTCAGCTTCAGCTTTGCTGCCGCTCTTACTAGTAAGCGGTGTGCACATGAGCTCGCCAGCCCGGAAATAGAACCGGTTGTCTACACTACAGTGAAGCTGACTATGGCTCGGCTGTGTCTTAGCTGGGTTGGCATGTGTCTCAAGGACTGAGTGCTCTGGTGCTGCTTCAGTGCCTGATCTTTGACTTCACCCACACCCTAGGCTTGCATTGATCAGTAGCCTTGCTCAGGCTCCCCGGTTAGGGGCAATGGACTGAGCGCAGGGCTGGGAGTCAGGACTCCTGGGTTCTATTCCCAACTCGAGGGGTGATCTAGAGGTTTAGAGCAGGGGACTGGAAGTCAGGACGCCTAGGTTCCATGCAGTGTGCAGACACCATAACATTCTCTTCCTTCTATTTTAAAAGAAGGAACATTTTAGTGCAAAGAGGGTTTGGGTTTTTTTAACTAAATAATTGAAGATGGGATTTATGGGCTAGTGCATTGGGAGCTTGAAGTCAGGACTCCTGGATTCCATCTCTAGCTCTGGGGAAGGAGTGCGGTTGAGTGGTTAGCGTGGTGGGGGCTGGGAGTCAGGACTCCTGGGTTCTTTTCCGCTCTGCCACTGATTTTCAGCAAGGACTAGCCGCTTCTGTTTGCTGGTCTGTAAAATGGGCTGACTGCCTAGCTCCAAGTATTGGATAAGCCTGAACAGGGGGGTTGGATGTTGGTTATTGCTCAGGGCTGATCTATGCTGGAAACCTAAGTTGGTATGACTACGTCTCTCGGGTGTGAAAAATCCACACTCTTGAGAGACACAGCTGTGGAGTCGTAACCCCTGGAGTAAACAGTGGTAGGTCAATGGAAGAATTCTTCCGTCGACCCAGCTACCGCCCCTCGGGGACGTGGATTAACTAGGGCGACGGGAGAACTGTTGCTGTAGTGAGTCTGTGCTGTAGCCTTTTAGGTGTAGCCTCAGTCTCCGATGTCCTGTGCCTGTCCGGCTGTTGGCTCGGAGGCTCTGCACAAGCAGATTCAGTCTGAAGCTCTTGGCTCGTTGCAAGCGGTTTCAATAACCGAACAATTGAAGGCATTTAGAACACAAAACAACTCGCTCGGTTGTCCCCTTTGTTCTCTAGTAGTGGCTGGTTATAGGCGCCTGCCCCACTCTGTGATTTCCACCTCCCTCTATTCAGACCTTGATTTTTGAATCCACCCTTATTCCCGCTCCTCTTGACAGATTGATTCCGATCTTGGTGAATGGAATGAAATACTCTGAAATCGATATCATATTGCTAAAGGTACGTGTCTGTCGATGCAAAGGGGTGGGGGGTGCGCTTGGGACAGCCAGGATGCCTATGTTCCTACCCCAGCTCTGACACTGCCTCCTCCTGTGGCCTCGGCCATGTCCCTTCCTTTCTCTTTGCCTTAGTCCTTCCTGACTGTCAAATGGGACTAATGCCTGCTAAATACGATAACTGAAACCTGCTGTGTGTGAAATTCTCTTCTCAAATCATCCCTTCAAAGGGCAGGGAGCTGTATCTGCCTCCAAGTTACCTAGATCATTGTTTGCAAATCAAAAGAGAATCTCTCTCGGTTTCAATGAGCTGCCTGCCAGCCGTATTGATTTATTAGAGTGTTTGTGTTTGCAGTGTAGCAAAGCATTCAGCATTAATCGAGTTGGGCTGAGAGCTCCGTGGAGCAGGGACTGTTTTCTTGGTGTTTGTACACCACCCAACCTAATGGGATCCTGGCCCATGACTGGGGCTCTTAGGTGCTACCGTAATATATATAATGTTAGTACCTGAGTCTTTCTTACTGGACGCCGTGGCTGTTGGGTAGTTACCAGGTCACAGTCCCCTCCTGGGACTCACCTTCACATCCAGTCACTCACCTCCCCGCCCCATTGGCACTAGTTAGCCCCCTCTTGTGGCACGGTCAGGAGCAGGCCAGACTGAGATCCAGCTACTGAGCCAGTGAGGTGGGTGTTAGGAGTGAAGCGTGGCTTGCTGTACCCTGGGCACAGGGCGTCAGTCTCCAGGACCGTCCTGTCCAGGGCCATGTTACGCACGCTCATGGAAAGGGGAGCCTTGCAGCCGTCTGTGGATTGCTGGCAGCGAAGCTCCCTGTTTCATAGGATCCTTCCTAGAGGGAGGATGGGCTGGCAGGTAAGGTGCTGCACTGGGACCTGGGTTCTAGTCTCAGCTCTGCCACAGACTCCCCGTTGTGACCTTGGGCATGTCACTTAATCTTTGTACACCTCAGTTTCCCCATCTGTGCAGTGGGAATAGCGCTTTCTGTTTCGTGTGAAAGCTATCTGGGGCAGGCACTGCGTCTTCAAAATGAGGCCTTGATCCTGGGGCACTACCGTAATACACCTAATAAGGAAGAGGACCTCTAGCAATATTGTAGGTCATAGGTTAAGGTGAGGGAGAGGTACCGGTTCATGACCTCCTGGAAGTGATGCATAATTTCCAACCTGATGACAATGATGGTGGTTGTATTCATACTGTCTGATCCAAGGAGGCGTGACCGGGATCTAAAACAGGAGCATGTGAGGTACAGGCGTGGCCTTAGCAGGGGCCGGGCATCCCGTACTGCTGCGAGATCTCTGCAAAACCCTGCCTGCGAGAACCCAGAGACTTGATCCTACAGCCCCTCATTTCTAGTGGAGGGTAGCACAGGGAACTGGGACTCAGGAGAGCTGGAATCAATTCCCAGTTCCACCACTGGTGCGCTAGGTGACCTGGAGCAAGTCCCTCCCTTCTCTGTGCCTCAGTTTCCCCCCTTGTAAAATGGGGATAATGATACCGCCCTCCTTTGTAAAATGCTTTGAGATCTACCAATGAGACGTGCTAGGTATTGTCCTGACGATGGCTGAACCCTCCGCTTCTCAACAGCGGGCAGAGAGTGCTTTCTTGGTTGGGTGCCAACGCCTTCCCTATAGAGAGAGAGAGGTTGACAGAAGCTCAATATGCAGAGCAGATGCATGTGGCATGAGGGCCTGAGCAGTGTGCTGTGAAGCCACGGGAGTGAATTTCAAAGGCACAGAGGTCAGATGAGCGCCAGAGTCGCTCCCCAAATTTCCCCATAGCACTTAAGGAACACTGTGGCCCATGCCGTGCGGTGGGGGTATGTGAATTCCCAGGCTGTGGATCTTTGGGTACGGCTATACTGCAGTGGGACATGGCATTTTCAGCTCGGGGAGATGCACCCGCGCTTGCTCTGATCAAACTAGCACGCTAAAGACAGACGTAGTCACGGTGGGCTTGCTGGTTGAGTATGTCCCCGGGGTCTCAGACAGAATCCTGCTCAGAGTGCGTAGCCTGAGCCGCTGCAACTGCTGCTATTTTAAGTGCTCTAGCCCGATCAGAGCTAGCACAGGTACGTCTATCCAGGCTGGAAATGACAGCTCCAGCTGCGGTGTAGCTGGACCCCCAGACGCCTGTTGGAGTCCGACTGTGGTTCTTGTTTAAGGGGAAGGGCAGAGGGTCGCTAGCCGCTGCTCTCCAGAGCGCCCCACGCTGAGAACTGTCTTACGGCTGTCTACCATATCCGAACCGCTCTCTGTCGCCCCAGGGGGATGTGGAAGAGGACGAGGCCATCCCAGACAGCGAGCAGGACATCAAGCCCCGTTTCCACAAGTCGCGCACCGTCACGCTGCAGCACGAGGAGGACCGGACGCAGGATGACGAGGACGGGGAGGATGAGGACGACGACGACGACACGCTGTCGGACTGGAACCTGAGTAGGTCGGGGAGGGGCCGGGCTCGCGCTCAGGTCTGGTTTGGGCAGAGCGTTGTCGATGTAACTTCAGGGGATGGTCGGGTGACACCGTAGCAAGGCATTGGCCGTAGTGCGGCAGCATCCTCGCCCTGCCCGGAAAAGCCGGGTGTCCTAAGTGCAGCCTGCTGGGGACAGTCTGGATTGTGTGCGCAGCACCTGGTGCAGCAGGGCCCTGAGCTGGGGTCGGGGCCTCTTGGCTCTGCCATAATATAAATAATGAACATATCTCCCGCCCCGCAGGGAAGTGTTCGGCCGCGGCCCTGGACGTCCTGGCCAACGTGTTCCGAGACGAGCTCCTCCCGCACCTCCTCCCGCTGCTCAAGGGCCTGCTCTTCCACCCCGAGTGGGTCATCAAAGAGTCTGGCATTCTAGTCCTGGGGGCCATTGCTGAAGGCAAGTGCCGTGCGTGGGAGCTGCGGCGATGGATCACATCCACCAAGCAACCTGCCGGGGCCAGTTGATGCTGGGTGGTGGGGAGGCAACATAACCGATCTAGTGTGCAGTGCTGTACAGGGTGGGGGCATAAGAGCCCCGCAGGAGCAGATGGGGGGGTAATCTATCCCCAGTGGATGTCTCATGACCCCTAATTATCAGATGAGCTTAAACCACAAAGCATGAGGCTTTATGTCCTTCCAATGCTTTGTTAGTGACTGCTCTGCCTCTGGCTATCCGTGTTATCCATATAAACATCCAACCCCTCTTTGACTCTTGCTAGGTTCTTGGCTTCAGTGGCATCCTGTGGCAATGAGTTCCAGAGGTTTCTGAGGCTTGGAACTGAACCCTGGCCTGCAATCCTCTTATGTGCCCAGGTCCACTGGCGCTGGTATTTCCTGCCACCTGCCTCAGATGCTTTGGGACTGAGGAACTTGTGGCACGTGATTGGCTTATTTTAAAAAGAAAAAGGCTAAGAGGGTGGTGTCCCAGCAGCTGATCCTTCCCAGAGACCCCTAATGCTTGCTAAGGGATGGGGATCAGGGATAGTGAGTGGCCTTACTCTGACTGCTGGGGGTAGGCCCAGCAGTACCTAGGAGCGTCACTAGAGGGAGCCATGGCTGAACAGCCCAATAGAGACTAGGGCGCATACCCTTCTACCCCCTCTTCTGGGCTCTGAGCATTCCCCTCTTCTCAGGCTGCATGCAGGGCATGGTGCCCTACCTCCCCGAGCTCATCCCGCACCTGATCCAGTGCCTCTCGGACAAGAAGGCCCTGGTGCGCTCCATCGCCTGCTGGACCCTCAGCCGCTACGCCCACTGGGTGGTGAGCCAGCCCCCCGACATGCACCTCAAGCCGCTGATGACGGAGCTGCTCAAACGCATCCTCGACAGCAACAAGAGGGTGCAGGAGGCAGCCTGCAGGTACCTGGGAGCGTGGGGCGGTGCTGGGGCGTGGGAATTGCAGACCAGTGCCGAGAGGTTTTCCCATGCTAAAGACAGATTCCTGTGATCAGATTTCCCCTTCCGCAGCTGCAGTCCCCAGCTTCTTTAATCCTGAATCACGTCCCTGGGATATCGGCAAAGGTTTGCCAGCGGCCACGCAAGCCACTGTTCTTAACCAGCATCTGTAGTCACCCTGGCTACGATCTGCGGCTAGCGTCAGCTTCCCAGGACCAGCCACTGGTGCCTGTATCGCCGCTGCAGCAGGTGAACTGAGGAGAGCAGTAACCATCTCTCATAGAGCCATCCTCTCCAACATCCACGGTCTGCCTAGACTGGTCCTGGATGTGAGGCCTGGCTTGAGACATGGTCGCTCCTCAAGCTGGACCTTCCCCATCTCCCGCGATGCTTTTCTCTGGACGTGATGAGGAACTTGAAGTTTGATCTTAACCGTGACTGACTGTGATAGCTGGGTCTGATCCGGAGAATTACCGTGGGGTGGGGAGATGGCCCGGTGCTTCTGGTCAAAGCCAGCGGTTGGGGTGGTTATTGTGGGGCGTGGGGAGCCAGCTCACGCTGGCCCAAATGAGCTGCTTCATGAGCTGTTTTATTACAAGAGGGAAAACGAAGTGGGTTTCGTCCGCTTTCTGAATTGGACTTACCCGGCTGCCCTCTGCTGAGTCTGCCGCCGGCTTCATGCTGCTTCCTGGGACCCGTCAGGTTCTCTTTGGGCTAATGCTGTTTGTTGTTGTTCCCCCTCCCCTCGCATCCCAGCGCCTTTGCAACCCTGGAGGAGGAGGCTTGCACGGAGCTGGTCCCTTACCTCAGCTTCATCCTGGACACCCTGGTGTTTGCCTTTGGGAAATACCAGCACAAGAACTTGCTGATCCTGTACGATGCTATTGGCACCCTCGCCGATTCCGTGGGGCATCACCTAAACCAGCCGGTATGTGCCGCCTACACCCTCCATCCGACTGATTGCCGGGAGCACCGGTGCTAGCATTCACACGCCAACGCTCTGCTGCAGCCTCGTTTCACCCGCACAGCGTGACAGTAATAAAGCACCTTGGCCGCTTTCCCCTGATGTCTGCTGACCCTTCCATTCCTTGCCCTTACAAACTTGCTGCTGCCGAGGGGATAGCAATTGACGTGGGTGGAGTGAGTACCAGTAGCTGCGCAGTGCAGCACTTTCTCGTCAGCAACCGCTGGGGCTGCGTTACCAGGTTCCCTTGGTGCCTTCTCCACGCAGCTCCACACCCAGGAACAATGATGAAGGAAGACAATTCGAATCCTGAAGCAGTGTGTGGACTGTTCTGGCTTTCTGAGAGTTCTGGACTGAGCTTAGATTGCTGGAGAGGGATGGTGCAGTGGTTAGCACGCTAGCCTGGGCCGTGGGGACCTGGGTTCGGTTCCTAACTCCGCCACAGACTCCCCATGAGACCTTGGGCAAGTCACTTAGCCTCTCTGTGCCTCAGTTCCCGAACTATAAAATGGGGACAAGAGCACAGCCCTACAGAGTGCAATGTACTCAGATCGGATGGTGATGCAGGGGTGGAGTGGGGTATATAAAAGTACCCATGCTAGACCTTAGTGTTAACCCTCCTTCCCCCCACCCCCATGATAACACTGGTCTCTTTTCCTGCCTCCTTCCTGTAGGAGTATATCCAGAAGCTGATGCCCCCTCTGATCCAGAAGTGGAATGAACTGAAGGATGAGGACAAGGATCTCTTCCCTCTGTTAGAAGTGAGTGACTGAGAAACAGGTGGGAGAGAGCATGCTGGGAGATACAGTCGTGTATCATGGTCTCCATCTTCAGCAGCAGCTGACGCCTGAGTTGTAGGGTGGTGGCTTAGCCTGGGGAGGGGGAGAGGTGGGATCGGAAGGATAAAACCCTGTGATGTGTGAATTGGAACAGACCTGTGTGAGATCGGGATAAAAGGAGGGGTTGGGTCTGACGGACCCCTCTGAACGTCCTCTCTGAGGTGTCGTGCGTCTCTCTCCAGTGCTTGTCGTCTGTAGCAACCGCTCTCCAGAGTGGCTTCCTTCCGTACTGTGAACCCGTCTACCAGCGCTGCGTGACGCTGGTGCAGAAAACGCTGGCGCAGGCCATGGTAAGTGCTGGACTCCTCGCGGCAGGTGAGACAGGGAGCTTGGGCCGTTGTCCTTCGTCTTGCACTCGTGCCTGGGAGTATCGAGTGCAGGTGGGGCCCCATTGTCGGGAGCTGTGGGGACAAAAGTCCAGCCTGTCCCAAAGAGCCTGCGATTGAAATAGACAAGACAAAGGCCACATCTTTCTCCCCGGTTTACAGGTGGGACCCAGGGAAGGGGAGTGACGTGCTCGGCTCGGAATTGAATCTGGGTCTCTTGAGCACCAATCCAGTGCCGTGGCCACAAGCACAGCACGTAGGGCTCCGAGCTGAGGGTGTTTCGGGGGTGGGGGGTTCCCTTTGGTAAACGACTTTGCCTTTAACCCCTCTCCCGATCAGATGTACAATCAGCAACCGGACCAGTATGAGGCCCCCGACAAAGATTTCATGATCGTGGCGCTGGATCTGCTGAGCGGCTTGGCGGAGGGCTTAGGGTGCCATGTGGAGCAGCTGGTGGCCAGAAGCAACATTATGACGTTGCTCTTCCAGTGCATGCAGGTGAGCCGGCTCCGGACCCTGGGTTAACAGCTGCGTCCCTGGGCGGCTGACTCGCTCCCAGTCTAACCCTTCCCTGTTGCTCCGTGCAGGACACCATGCCGGAGGTTCGGCAGAGCTCCTTCGCCCTCTTGGGAGACCTCACCAAAGCCTGCTTCATGCACGTCAAGCCCTGTATCGGTAGGTCCCTGCGCCGATCCCTCACTTCGCTGCCGCGGTCACGGGGGCCCTCTTGCCTCTGGAAGTGATGGAGAAGTTTGTCAAGGGGAGCTCTTGCTATGACCGTCACAGTATTCATACTGTCTGATCCAGAGCGAACAGCAGAGAGGGACAGGCTGGCCTTGAGATTGGGGAGCGGGGCTGGGACATGGGAGACGCTGGGTTCAATCCCAGCTCTGGCACAGGTTCCCTGCATGACTGCGGGCAAGTCATTAAATAGCGTACGTGCCTCAGCTTTCCCTTCTGTAAAATGGGGGTGAGGATCCTTTCCTTTGTCCAGCCTGCGAGCTCTTAGGGGCAGGGACTGTCTCGCTCTGTATTTGGGCAGCTCCTGGCACCAGGAGGCCCCAGTCTCAGGTCGGGGCTCCAGCCAGTACCACGTGGAGGAAGAACTGGCTCGTCTGTAGGCCCCTTCACACAGTGCTGGTCCCGAAAAAGCCAGAGACTCCATGAAGCCAACCAAGGGCTTTGTGCTGCTATTGACTTTAGCTAGAAAGTGCCCAGATACTACGGTGATGGGAGGGGCGGTACAACACCTTAGATGGTATGTGCCCCACCTGCAACCTCTACAGCACTAACTCTATGTCCTTCCTCCTCCTCTTCCTCCTCCTCTCTGCTCAGCTGAGTTCATGCCCATCCTGGGCACCAACCTGAACCCGGAGTTTATCTCGGTGTGCAATAACGCTACCTGGGCCATTGGGGAGATCTGCATGCAGATGGGTAAGCGTGCCGAGAGCCAGCCAGGCTGGCACTGGCCTCTGCTGCTCTCTGACTCCCACACCAGTGCTGTTAGGGACGACCACGCTGCGTCCTTCCCTGCAGACGAGAGGGTAGTGCACCAGCACACATCCTCGGGGGAGAGGTGGTGAGCTCCAGGGGCTGTCTAGTGCCTCGGAGTTAGAGCCGGCAGGTGTTGGGGCTGATCTTGTTGAGCCGGGGGCGCTGGTGGGAGCTGCATCGCAGCTTGCTTTGGATACAGTAACCCTGGCGTTTAGTGCTAGATCGGTCCCTGCACCACAGAGAGGTGGAGATCCCACCTCATGCAATGGGTCGGTGGCTCTGGCATTGTGTGTACAGCGTGGGGAGGGGGGCTGGAGTCAGGACTCCTGGGTTCTACTCCTAGTCTAGGCCTTGTCTAGTCTGCCACTCTTTGATCTTGGACATTTCTTTATCCGTGCCTCAGTTTCCCCATCTGCAGTGGCGCTAATCCCGATCTGCCTCTCAGAGGGGCTGTGAATGAATATTCATTCACTGAGATCTGCCCTCGGGGGAAGCTTAATGAGCCACGTCAAAGATGGAGCTGATCGCACTCTCCTTCCTGGCAGGGGCGGAAATGCAGCCGTACGTCCAGATGGTCCTGAACAACCTAGTGGAGATTATCAACCGGCCAAACACCCCCAAAACGCTGCTGGAGAACACAGGTGAGTTGGGGACCCCAGCATGTCACCCCCCAACCTCTGGCTCTGCGCATGTGAGGGACTGCAGTGATGGGAGTGGGATCAAATAGCGGGATTCACTCCAAAGAGCGAAACTGGCTTGGACGCCAGTGGGAACAAGGTCTGACCAGGGAGACACCGATTTGCTATCGGCTGGAAATGTGTCTAAATGGGAGTTAATGGGGGAATGGAGGAGCTGCTCTCCCTGTTGCCACCCTTAAATGGGGGTAGGGCTGCTGGCCTGTCCCCCAGCCCAGAATTGCACACAAGCACCTGTTCTTAAAGGGGCTCTGCCCTGGAACAGCTGGTCCTTGGGCCTTTAAAGGGTAGACCCACTTTCTACAGGTGGTTTCCCTGGGGTAGGGCCCTTGAGCCTGGTGAAAGAAGCCAGTCGACAGCCAAAATCTACATGTACAGTCCTGACCGCAGCAGGGCAAGCTTCCCAAACACCCGTTCCTGCCTCTGGGCATCAGCTCTGCCCTGGAGGGCAGCCACTGGCCAAGATGGGAGTTCGGTCTTTGGCCCGTCCAGTTTTCTGTTTCGCTGCTGAGGCTGGCAGCTGCTTGTAGGATTATGCGACGTGGATGGAGGAACTGAACCAGTGCTACCAAATGGCCCATCAGCTCGCTGTTGATCTTGGCCGGATCTGACCTGGCCACTCGAGAGGGGAAAGGCGTTTCGCTCTCCCAGTTCCCTAGTTGCTTCTCTTGGCATGTGCCGCGTCCTCCGGACATACTCCCTGCTCAGATCCGTGATGGGATTGTCTCTCTTCCAGCCATCACCATCGGACGCCTGGGTTACGTTTGTCCTCAAGAGGTCGCGCCGATGCTACAGCAGTTTATCAGACCCTGGTTAGTGAAACCGCAGTCGGAGAGGGGGAAATGGAGCGTTTGGTAGAGAACAGGTGTTTGGCTGAAGGGTTCATGGCTGCTGCCTGGGGGGAGGTGGTCTGTTCCAAGGGGCAGCACGGCCTGACGGACATCTTGGCAAAAAGCTTCCAGTGATCCAGGCTCTTCTGCCAAGCTCTTTGCACCAGTGCATTCTGGGATCCTAAAGCCCCAAGCCCATAGTGCCCAGTGCAGGGTTTTTTGGGTAACTTGGAGATGAGATCCTGCCTGTGGGATGGAGCTGGGTGAACTGGGGCAGCACGCGTGCCTGTCTATGCTTGAAACGGGGATTCAACGGGACCTGAATCAAGGACCCTACTCTGCCACTGACTTCCTCTGACAAGTCACCCAGTGTCTCTGCCTCAGTTTCCCCATCTGGATAATGGCACTGCCCTGTCTCAGTTGTGAGGAGGATTGGGAGGTTCTCAGATACTACAGCAACCGGGGCCATGAAACTACCTGAAATAGCATTTGACATATCCAGACCTGAGCCTGCTCTGTGTGGGTGTGACACTTACCTGCCATCTGTGAGGGCTGTGTATTGCATGACTGTGTCTCTGTGTGGATGGAGCTTCACCCTCCATCTTCTCTTGGGGGGGGGGGGTGGATTTGCCAGTCTTTAGAAATAATTCCAGCCCCCCAACCCCTCCCTGTGGCGGTCTTTCCTGAGTCTCCAGATCGGCTGCTCCTTGCATGCCCCAGCTTCTCAAAAGGGTTTGGTGAAACTCGATGCGCGATCCCACACCAGGGAGAGGTTCTAACTGAACTGGCACGTACCTGAGCAAGCTTCTGTCCTGGGGGACCTCCCCCACAGACTCCCCCATGTCTCTGGCAGAGGGGGTGACTAAACTAGTCCCCTGAGCAAAGGGAATACAACCCAGGGCTTGTTTCCGTAAACAAAGGCTGGGAACAGGAGCGGCAGACTCCTTCCCCAGGGAGCCGGCAGCTCCGATTTCTCTAGAGATAAGCTTGCCTGCCCCATCTGCAGTGCAGCGCTGGCTACGTTTAACAGAGACTTTGCTTTAATAGAGACTCCGCCCACTCCCGGTTGGGATCTTACAGAAGTTTTTGGGGGGGGTTGGACTCCAGCTAACTCAGTGTCCTGTTTAAAAATACCCCCTCCCCCCAAACTTCCCCAGGTGGGTTTTTTAATCTGTTAACGCTGCAGTGTGCTGACAAGGATGCCAGCGCTCAGCGTAACTGTGAACGGTAGCTCAGACCGGGCCCCAGCAGGCGAGTGAGGCCAAGTATAGCGCACAGCCGGCTTCCAGCGACCCAGGGGAAAAAAGGCCCCGAGTTATCGCAGTATCTGAAACCTCAGATGAGTTACTGAGCAGGGAAGGAGGCAGGATGGGCCAATGGAGAGGTACTGGACTGGGCGTTCGGGTGCTAATCCCAACGCTGCCATTGAGTCTGGGGGAGATCCATTTGTCAGGCATCTAGGGACAGAAGGATGAGAAGCTAATACTGGCATGGAGGTCTCTGCACTAACCGGGGATCCCCAGGTGCTAATTCTGCTATACTAGGGAGTAACTAGCTCTGGTTCTTGGGCTCGACTGCCACGGGCTCCTCTGCCTAGCGGTGGTGGCACCAGTGCACCGGCATTGCTGGATGTGCAGCTGTTCAGCCTAATGGTCCTGCTCCCTGCCCAGCCCCTCCGGCACTGATCGTGGGCTGTGCTCTGCCTTCCAGGTGTACGTCTCTGCGGAACATCCGTGATAACGAGGAGAAGGACTCTGCCTTCCGCGGCATCTGCATGATGATCGGGGTGAATCCCGGCGGAGTCGTGCAGGTAACAGCGCTTCAGCCGTTCTCTAGGACTGCGTGACGGCCGGAGTAGCTGGCTGGACCTCCCTCCACACAACGCCGTCCTACCCAGCTGCAAAGGGAGAGAGACAGACATCGCAGAACTGTCTCACCCTGCACTGGAGCGTTAGTGTCTGCACTGACTCCAGGAGTGGGTGCCTGACACAGTCCCGCTCCCCATAGCACAGTGCCCCCTAGTGCTGCACTGGGGTATTGGGGTCTGTACTAATTTCAAGGGGAGAGTGCCCCCTACTGAGTCACTGACCCTGCAGCATAGTGCCATGTAGAGCCGCACTGGGGGTAGCATCGACCGAAGGAAGAGTTCCCCCGCCCAAGCCACTCGCGCCTCTCCCTGCAGCAGCCTGGGATTTGCCTTGTTAAGCCCTGACCCTGCTTTGCTTGTGATATCGGACAGATCCCCAAGACGGTGTCGCTTCACACCATAAACCCAGCTCTTTAATCTAGCGGGAAAAGGCATAACAAGAGCCAATGGCCGGAAGCTGAAAGTAGAAAAAAATCATAGTAGAAATAGGGATGATTTTTTAACAGTAGGGTAATTAACTACCTAGGGGCGTGGTGGATTTTCCATCATTCGCGGCCTTTAAGTTCAGGCTGGTATTGGAGTGGAATTGGTGCTGCTGTCGTTACGGTTGAGCAGCACTTTAAAAAGAGAGTCTTCCTCCGAAGATTTGCTGCAGCTCATCCGGAAGCGCTGGGCTTGCTACGGGAATTGCTGGGGAAGTTCCCTGGCCTCAGTTCTGCAGGAAATCGGACTGGATCAAACGGTCCCGCCTGGCCTTAACATGGGACTCTTGATTCACGCTGTGCTGGGGTCTGTCGGCTCTTTCCCAAGCGCCTTTATCCTGTTCCAGGACTTTATTTTCTTCTGCGATGCTGTTGCTTCGTGGGTGAGCCCTAAGGATGACCTGAGGGACATGTTTTATAAGGTAAGTTGCGCGTTGTAAGCGGGAGGGGCAAGAGAGGCCTCACGCAGCTGAGCCCTCAGTCCAGTTATGGATCAACTATGCAAGCTAATGCTGTGGGGGGGGGGCTTCCTTGTCATCGCAAGCAGATGAATTGATGGGCCTGGTCTCTAGCTCCATTTATTCGCTGACTGAGAGGGAGCGCTGTCCAATGGCTAGAGCTGGGGAGATCAGGACTCCTGGGTTCTTTTCATGGCTTTGGGCGGGGAATGGGGTCTTTCCAGCTCTGCCACTTCAGCGCTCTGTGCCTCCGTTTCCCCATCTATAAACTGGGGAGCCCGTCTCCTGTAGGGTGGTGGTGAGGCTTTGTGTGTATTATAGCGCTCCGAGGCCTCCATCTGCAGTGTGACATTGTCATGGTGTCTTGGTTGTGCGGGCGATATGCATTACTAAACACTGGAACCGCCAGCGTTGGCTGGATTTGTTGTTTGGCCTCACCAGTGGGCCCACAGCATGAATCCCTGCAGCTATTGGGTTAGTGTCGGCTGATCGCAGTGCTGGCCCGTCTGCAGCTCCGAAGTGGAAGAGTCCACCTCTTCCCTCTGCAGCGCACGGAGCGTGGGTGGAGCTGTTCATCTTCCTCTAACTCCCAGGATTCTCGCAGTAACAGGGCTGTAGGCATAGCCACGCGCCTGTATTTCCACCTCCCCTGCCCACACACGAGCTTGTGCACTCCCATCTCGCTGCTCTTCCTCCTCAGATTCTTCATGGCTTCAAAGACCAAGTTGGCGAGGAGAACTGGCAGCAGTTCTCGGAGCAGTTCCCGCCTCTGCTGAAGGAGAGGCTAGCTGCATTCTACGGGGTCTAGGCAACGCAGAGAAACCGAACTAGGTGAGTTTGGACACGGGACCGTAGCTGGTTCTGCTGGATCAGCCAGTGTGGTGGTGGTGGGCGTAGACTTTTAGCTCCCATTCTCATGGGCTAAAACCTCTCATTGCCCCTCTTTCCACCCCCCCACTCCCCCGGCAAATAAGTTTGAAGTGTTAACATGGTGAGAAGTTGATGGAGAGAAGAGAGATTAAGTGGGAAGGCAGGTGGGTGAAGGGTATGGAGCACAGGGCTGGGAGCTGCCAGTCTCCTGGGTCTGCCGCTGACTTAATGTGTCCTTGGACAGGTCACTTCCTCTCTCTACCTCAGTTTCTCCATCTGTAGTGGAAGCGTGATGTCTCCCTTGTTGGGGCAGAGGGTGGAGCTTATGTTGATTTTATGAACCTGCATTAAGATCCTCCGGCAAAATGTCAGTTTCTAATTGTCAGAAGAGTAGAACTGGTGAAAAGCAAACCAGATGTTTAGTGTCCAGGAAGTGAGGAGAGGCAGTGTTGTCTGAGTGGCAGAATGCGATTCAGGCCTCCTGCTTCGAGTTTCCACACTGTGAAACGAGGACAATGACTCAACCTTTCTCTCAGAGGTGCTGAGGTCTTTGAGCAAAACCGGTGTGAAGTGTGAAAAAAATTGTAAGCCCTGAGGCAGCACACTCCGGAAGACCCAGCAGCCCAGACGCTCAATCTATTTGCCCACCCTTAACATGCGGACAAAGAGACGAAGGTCAATTTAAACACCAATTTAGGAGCTTGACTTTCGTCACTTAAATAAAAATGGCCTGATCCTCGTGGACTGTTAGCTTCCATTGAAGCTGGGGATTTCTGGGTGCTGAGAATCAGGTCTCTCATTGATCATGCACCCAAGCTTTAAAACTTTGGCCTAAATATTTCTCTTCTCCTCCCCCAAAAAAACTCTTACCCGGAACAAAGAGTTTTGACAAGTAAAGTCAGCAGATGGAAAGTTTGCAAAGCTGATCTGATGCCCCAAAGCAGGGGAATATGAAGTCAGCCTGATTGTGTTTTGCCTTCAAAACATCAGGGCTTATCAAATCTCATCTGTCTTAATTTTGCTGGAGGACTCCTTGGCAGTCTAGGTTGTGGCTTGTGAGCTCTGTCTGCCCACCAACTGAGGTGTTGGATTTTTAACCAAGAGCTCTTCTCCAAGCTGTTGGTTGGACACTTGAGTTATCACAACAAGTTTCAGCCAACCTGGATACAAATTTCCTCCTCCTCCTCTGCATCACATGTGATGCTATAACCTGCTAGTTTTCCCATTGCCAGAGTCTTCCAGGAAAAGCAGGGGGAGATGAGACTTGTGTCTAATAATGACGGCAGCTATTCTGAGTCCCTTTCAGAGGGCTTCATTTGACGTGTGTGTGTGTGTGTGTGTGTGTGTGTGTGTGTAAAACCTCGACTAACTGGTGCCCTCTCTCTTGTGTCTCCTCCAGGTTCCTGTATGTGCTGGGAGGGTTACTGGGAACTCGTCCACAGGTGTTGCAGAGCCCTGTTAATGGGGGGTTAGGGAGGAAGGGAGGAGCATTGTGGGACATAAAATGACTTCCCTCCCATCTCCTGAAATTTAAAGGGGGGGGACCGCCGAGATCAATTCAAACAAGCAACCAGGGAATCTCAGCGATTGGGAAAAGGGGCTCTTTCCTCCTTTTTCAGAGGTCATCTCTGGTAGATGGGGATGGGGTGGGGGTTGGCCGTGGGCCGAAATAGGGGAGCGATCTTAAACTGCAACACTTCCTGAGAAGGGGATCTAACTAGGGCCATAATAGAAAAGGACTAGCTAATAATAATAATAATTTAAAAAAAAATCATTTAAAGGCTAGGTTTTAAAAACAAAGATATGAATAAAAAGCTAAAATTGGATAAAAAGTTCTAATGGTTAAAAATCTAGCTGTCGAGAACGGAAGGGTTAAACTATAATAAACACAAGGTTATACTACTGTATAAATATTACCAGTCACCGGTGTTTGAGATCAGCTTTTCCTCACCTCTTCCAGACTGCATGGTGACAGAAGTAGACTAGCAATCCTGTGAGTAGCCCATAATTAAGTGTAATCGTTTTTCATCTAGAAACTTAAAACAGCAAGAAAAAAACCTTTTCTGAAATAGTTTCCATGGCAGCGTTTACTGGATGCGATGCATAAAACCCCCCAACCCATAAGGATCTCCTCAGCCGAGATCCAGTCGATTTCTATTGTGAAGGGGGCCCTTGTAACGAATACTGTCGGAGAAGCATGTTTTTTATAAAAAAGAAAAAAATCAAAATACACAGTGCAGTGAATTCTCTTAACCTGTCCTTCAGCTACAGCCAGAGGGAGGTGAAAGTGACACAGGTGGGATTGTAAGTGATGCGGTTGTATCATGCATAGGCTGGACATCCCATCTTCACCTGGTTTATAGCGCCACCTGATCAGGGAGACATGTACTGCACTCAGTCCCAAGTAACACAGTTCATTACGGTTAATTATGCTTTCTGTCTTAATGGAGTTTATGCCACATCTGCTACTTCAGTTTACAAAATAAAAGAGGGCAGTCCAGATAGTGGAGCACAGAGGAGATGGAAGTGTAGCTTTGTGTAGGCAACAGTCACATTTCTTTTTAAGACAAGTCCATAAATTCTGCTACATGCTCAGTTGGAGTCTTGACAAGACTCCCATGAATTTTAGTCCCCCGTTTATTTAAAAAATAAATCAGGGGTTGGTTATGCGGAAAGCTTTTGACTTGGTGTAACCACAGCTTTTTAACTGTAAATGAGGTAATGTGCTGTGAAAGCATCGTTTGACAGCCTGGGTGTTTTTTGACTTGCCACTAGTCAGAAGGAAGCTGTATGGGGGAAAGAAAGGGGAACGTTTAATCCTTTAAAGGTGAAAGAATAACGGAGTGGTGGTGGGGGGGTACTGCCAGTTGTCGGGAAGCGTCTGAGTCTGCTTGATCTGTCTGTAATCAGCTGAGCTGTGGGATGAAGAGAAATCATTTCCCAAAGTGACACGCACCAAGGGAAATTCCAGTTCTCCTGAGAAGAGACGCGGCTGGGATGCTGATTTTCTCCAAGTGCAGGTTGGGGAGAACTCTTCACCAACTCCTTCCTGGATTCTTTTTTTAAAAAAACTGAAAGTCACTCAGGTGACAGCAGGACGAACCTGTGGTTGAACTGTGGAAAGTCTGACCCTTCTCGAGGCTGCAGCCACACCTGTTGTAAAAGTACCGTGCAGTGAGGAACCCACCGTCTCCTTTTGGCTGGCAGTGTCATGCAGGGTGTGGGGAACCAATTTACTAAAGCAGCAGTTGGTCACTCTAGGATCAGTCGTGCTGCACCTGTGTCTATTGAAAGCATTTGTTTGTGGGATCACTCAGTAACTTAAGCTTCACTGATCCTTTCCCTTCATCCTCCCTGGTTATTTTTCAGCACTTCCTTTCCCTCCTTTTTCTATACTTTTTTTTTTTTTTTAAGCTTTCTTTTAACGCCCCCTAAGTTTTTGCACTCGAGTTCACCGGTGCAATAGGCCTTCGCACCACAAAATTTTGCGCATAACAGCCTGGCTGGCTTAGTGTCCACTGTTGTTTTCACTGGCTGGCGTAGCCCCAAGCCTTGCTCCCACCCATCTCTCCCGCTGAAGATCTTGAGGGGTGGGGAGAGACTCAAGCAGCATTCAGCCCTAAGTGCATCTCTACCTTAGAGGAAGGAAGGGATGGGGAACGAAAGAGATGCATTCCTTCACTTCAGCCTCCTTTTTTTATTTTTATTTTTTATTGGTATAAGACTTGAGCAGGTCTCTGGGAAACTATCAGATGTTTTTCTCTTTTGCATTTTGATGCTTTATTTTAAAGCATTTCCTTTCCCTCCATTCCTGCAGAGAGGGATGAAACCTGGATTTCCATTAGAGCAGGGGTCTGGTGTGATTTTTTTTTTAAATGCATGAACAAGAACTGTATTGCGAAGTAAAGTGGCAACCCAGCTTGCTATGTACTTCTATCTAACAATTTTTTAAAAAAAAAGTGTTAAGTTCCCAAAGCGTAGGAAGATAAAAGAAGGCTGTGCACTCTTTCTCGGACAGTGAAGTTTAAGTTACTTGACCTGACTGCCTCTTGAAATGGAGTTTTTTTTTTTTTACACTGTATAAGTGCTTCTAGTTTCTGCCTCCTGTTTGTTAACCCTGGATTTGTATATTTGTAAATGTGCTGTACTGTTTCCTATGGTGACAGTGTACCTAGTGTTGAAGCCGCTGCTTGCACCTTGCTGAAATGAGATTTTTCTCATTTTATGTATAATTTTGTCAACTTAAAAAGAAAAAAAAAAAAACAAGCAAATTTCATGTGACTTCAGTCTACAGCTGTGTCTAGGCTCAGTGTTTTTTCTTATGTAAATATCAGGTTTGTAACCTTCGCCATTTACTTGATCGGGCTGCTCCCTCAGTCCCTCATCTCCACGCTGTATGGTGATAGAGCACAAGTGGATCCGCTGGGAAGTATGCTGACTTATATAGCCTTGTATCGTCTACCACGAGTTGTGGTCTGCATTCCTCGCTGCCATGTTTCTTAATACTTCTCATAACCCTGCAGCTGTGTCTATTCCTTGCTCTGGCACAGGTCTGAGAGTTTATACTGAGCATGTCACTTCCCCTCCCTGGGCCTCAGTTTCCCTATCTGTAAAGTGGGAATAATACTTATTTCTGGGGTAAAGGTATGTGAAGATTTACAGAACAAATGGAAAAAATGAATTAGTATATATGCTACTGGGAAAATTACTTAAGCTCTGTGCTTCTTATCCATGAGGATAACTTCTTAACCTGTGGTTACAGGTGCTTTGGGAAGCTGGCCTTATTGGCCACCTTCAGTGCTGTCACACTTCCCTGCACGGCTTATCGATTTGAAAGAGCCAGGGTGAGTGATGAGTTAGACCTGCTTCCCTGGCTGCTGGGGGGGGGGGTGTCCTTCTCCCGGTGCTGCGGGGGGGGGGGGGGGGGGGCTGGGGGGGGGCCCTTGGCCGCTGTAGTCGGCCCAGCTGGGGCCTGGCCCTGGCACGCTGCCCCGGGGGGGGGTCGGGGGGTGGGGGTGGGCGAAGGCTGTTGCCTAAGGCTGGGGAAGACACTGATGCTGTGATGTCATAATAGGGTCATGTCATGCCTATGATGTCACATTAATGCCTTGACGTCATGACACGGGCGGGGCGTGTTTATGAACGACCCCCCTCCCCCCCCGTAGGATGAGCGCAGCCACCAGGGAGGCCGGTCATGTTACAAGGCTAGGCGGGGTGTACTTCCGCTGTGTGACGTCATCTCGGCGCCGGAAGTGGCCCCGCTGGGGCGGGGACGCGCCGGAAGTGGAGAGCAAGAGGAGGCGGGGCTCCGCTGGGCGCTGTCAGGGGAGCGGGGCGGCCCCGGCCCGGGGGTAAGAAGGGAGCGGGGCAGAGACAGGCTGGTCCGAGCTCGGCCCCGGCCTGCAGCCGGCCCCGGGCAGCGCCCCCGGACCGGGCCCAGGGCCCCCCCCCCTCCTGTCCCGGGCCCAGGTCTCTGCAGGGGGGTGACACCCCCCATACCGGGCCCAGGTCTCTGTGGGGGGGGGGGCGACGCCCCCTGTACCGGGCCCAGGGCCCCCAGGTCTCTGCGGGGGGGGGACGACGATACCCCCTGTACTAGCCGGGCCCCCAGGTCTCTGTGGGGGGGGCGACGCCCCCTGTACCAGCCGGGCCCAGGGTCCCCCACGGCTCTGCGGGGCCAGACCCCTACGAATCCGAGCCCGGCCCAGGCAAATCTAGCCCAGCCAGTCTCCTGCAGGTGGCCTGTGCTGTGCTCCTCCGGTGACACAGGCAGGTCAGTCACCTGGCTGCAGCATCTGAATGTCCTTAGGTTAGTGCCCGGAGGCAGAGGTAAACCATGGGCCATCCTGGCCAAGACAGGCCCATCAGCCAAACTGCTGTGGAATCCATCCCTGTCTCTGTCTCCTCGACAGCCCCAAGGGAAAGCTTCCCTGGCTCCCCAGAGGCCAGCCCTTCTCCCCGACACCTGTCCCCTTTGCTCTTTACCAGAGGCCTTTGCTCCACGTCCTGCGGGAAGGGGGGGAATCTCCTTCTTGGCTCCTAGGTGTGACTCTTTTAGCCTTGGGGGTTCCTGTTGTCTTTCCAGCTTCTCCATAGATAACCCTTTCGTACCCACCCTGGGTAGCAAGGCAAATACATAGGGCCGCTGAGGCACACATAGGAACCATACAAATATTACAGAAAATTCCTACTTTGTCCAAGAGGGCATCTAGAACCTGTTGGAATGCAGCACCTCCCTTCCACTCACGGCGATGGGCTCAGGCTCTCTGCACACTCAGGCACTGTTGCTGTGTCGCTCACGCTTGGGGCGACAGCCCCGTCTCAGGGTTATGAGCTCAGGCTTTTTGCAGAGTCCAGCAATGTTACAGTCAGGACAGGTTTTCAAGGTTTTCTTCACAATCACAACAGCTGAAGACTTTTATTAATTACTTATGAAAGCTGAGATTCTGGAAAACAGCTGAGAAGTCTGTCGGTCCTCACTTCTCCTTTCCCCCCATTTTGGGAAAAACTTCAGAACAAGAGGATGGGAAGCTGAGGACATAGGGCTGCGGGTCAGAATGCAGAACAGGAACGAACAGCTGGAAATTAAAGCCAGACACATTCAAATGAGAAATTAGACCCCGATTTTTAACAGAGAGGAAGATTAACCATTAGAACAGACTCTGAAGGAAGTGGTGGATTCTCCATCTTGTCTTCCAGTCTGGTTGTCTTTCTGAAAGATGCTTTAGCCAAACACAAGTTACTGGGGTCACTGGGTGACATTGAATGGCCTGTGATCTACAGGAGGTCAGGCCAGGTGATCTAATGATCGCTTCTGTCCTTAAACGCCATCCCTGGGCAGATCATACACTGCCGCCGGCTGAGCTGGCAGAATGAAAGGGACTGGTGGACTGACCCTGTCCCTTGCTGTACCGGATGTGTGGGGTAGAATGGCCAATGTTACGATCTGCTCCGGGCTACATACTCTGTGCTGTTCCGATGCTGTTCTCGTCACTCTCACTGTCCCTACTGCTTCCACAGCCATGGACCTGGCATCGAACCCCTCTGAGGACCCCCACGCCTCCGACAATGACTCCGACGCAGAGAACAAGGTTGATCCAGACACGCAGGCTCAGGAGTACATCGACCGCGTCCTCGGCTCTGCTCAGCCCAGCCACAAGGCCCAGTGTGCACCTCCCGAGTCACTCTTCATGGGGCCCGGGGCCCAGGCATCGGAGCACAGGTCTCCTCTGGAGCTGAAAAAGTCTCCGGCAAGTGACAACGTGACCTCTGGGCTGTTAGCCCTCCCTCTGGAGCTGATCCTGGAGATTTGCTCTTACCTGGAAGCCAGGTTTGTTCTCGAGGTCTTGCCCTTGGTCTGTCGGACCCTCAGGGATATTGTGCAGGACCCAGTGACCTGGAGGATTCGCGTTCAGAAGAGGATCAGTGGGTGTTACCCGGTGGTGGAAGGTAGATCTCCATTGGACTTTCTTCACTGGAGGTGGGACTTGGAGGAGAGACAAGGGCTGAGGGCCAGGACTCCTGGGTTCTACTGTAGGACCAGACGCTATTTCATGGGCCTCAGAGAGGTCCCTCAGTTAACTTTGCCTTGAGATTTAGTTGCTGCAGGTTAGAGCTGTGGGGGGAGGATAACGATAACTCCAGGGTCCTATCACCAGCTCCGGATGAGAGTTGTGTCTAATGGTTAGTGCAGGGGGCTGGGTGTCGGGACTCCTGGGTTCTATCCCCAGCTCCGGAAGGGGGTCTAGTGGTTACAGTGGAGAGGGGAACTAGGAATCAGGACTCCTGGGTTCTGTTCCCTGCTTTGCAGCTGACTTCCTGATGTGAGCCTGGGCAAGTCCCCTCCCTGCTTTGCCTTGGCTTCACCTCTGTAATGGCTGTAGCTTCCCGGCCCTTCCTTGGCGTGAGGGGCGGGAGGTGGTTTGGGATGCTCCCAGGCGGCAGTGCCGTGGCTTAGCTTTGCTGCCCATCTATTTAAAGGGGCCGCGTTGGGGCCTCTAGAGGGGACATTTCCCCGTCCTTGGGAAGAGGAGGGTTTACGGACCCTAAAGCAGTGGGTCTCAACCAGGGGTACTTGTATCCCTGGGGCTATGCAGAGGTCTTCCAGGAGGTACATCAACTCAGCTAGAGATTTACCTAGTTTTACAACAGGCGACATAAAAACTACGAGCAAAGTGAGTACAAACTATAATTTCATACAGACGGTGATTTGTTTCTACTGCTCTATAGACTATACACTGAAATGTAAGTACAATACTTCCATTCCAATGGATTTATTTTATAAGTATATGATTAAAATGACCAAGCCGGCAATTGTTCAGTACTAGTGTGGCTGTGACACTTTTGTATTGTTGTGTCTGATTGTGTAAGCAAGTAGTTTAAAAGTGAGGTGAAACTTGGGGGTACGCAAGACAAATCAGGCTCCTGAAAGGGGGACAGTAGCCTGGAAAGGTTGAGAGCCGCTGCCCTGAAGAAAGCAATTTTTACACAGCCTTACCTCGACCTGGTGCAGGGGATGGGGAGTGGCTTTGGGATCAAAGCTCCCAGCAGTTTTGGAAGCGCCAGATTCCCTCCCTGCCCAGAGCGAGACACCCCTCACCCTGATCCTTGCGATCTCTTCCTTTCTACGCAGAGGAGGACTTCGACTGGCCGGCTGCCTGCATGGAGCTAGAGGAGCATCTCAGACACTGGGCCTGTGATGGCACGAGGACAGAGTACTTCTCCCTCGCCGACGGCCACTTCGCCTCCATCGACTCCGTTCTGCTCTTGCAGGTGAGTTCCGATGTCCTCCTTTGCTGGCCATTGCTGTCTGGGGGTGAGATGGGGTGGGGCTTGGGAGTCAGGACTCCTGGGTTCGACCCCTGGCTGTGGGAGGGAAGGGTGTGA